AGATCTTGAAACATTCTTTGTGATGATAAATGTCACACCATTCCTCTTCAATTTGTCATTCCCTAAATAGTAGATCATATGATTGTCTGATTCAGAATGCCCAAAACCAGTCCATTTCAGCACACTAATGCCTAGGATATTGATCTTTATACTTCCCATTTCATTTTTGACAACTTCCAGTTTTCCTAGACTCATAGTACATTCTACATTCTGATTATTAATGGATGTTTGCAGCTGTTTCTTCCCATGTTGAGTCATGCCACATCAGCAAATAGAGGTCCTGAAAGTGTTACTCCATCCACCTCATTAAGGTTGACTCTACTTTGAGGAGGCAGCCCTTCCCTAGTCATATTTTGAGTACCTGCCAAACTGAGTGCTCATCTACAGGACTATGTCGGACAGAGTTTCAGGGCTATTCATAAAGTTTCCCAATACTGTATCAGACAGAGTTTCCCTGCTGTTCATTAGGTTTTTACTGGCCAATTCTTTGAGAATTGGATGGCCCCATCCTTCTTCCAAAGTCTGTCTTAGTCTAGAAGCTCCGCTGAAACCTCTCCACCATGGGTGACCCTGTTGGTATTTGAAATACTAGTGGCATAGCCCCCAGCCTCACAGCAACATGCAAGCCACCATACTACAACAAAGTGACAGATGAATGGCAGTCTATAAAGATTACAGCCTTGGAAACCCTATGGGGCAGTTGTACTCTGTGCTGTAGGGTGTCTATGAGTCAGAATCAACTCGATAACAACGAGTGGTAATATCCTTTTACAAATAACATTAATCTCTATAATAATAACATTAAAAAAAGATTCCAAGAGAATGTATGTAAAATAACTGGCACAATGCAGGTACTCAGCAAATGCTAGTTACTCTTTCAGCACTAAAAACATCATTGGCAATAAGAACAACAATCCTTTTGTAATTTGAAAACTTAAATTATATGCGTTCTTTCTCAATATATGATTCAATCTTTTCATGTTGGAGTGATTATTTTTTTAATGCATTTATTATCTAATTTTAACATCAACTCTGATTTCTCATAATCATTTATTAGCATAAACCAAGATATTGACCTTTATAATGTAAATCTGGTTCTTTCATTAATTGAATTACTGCTTTGTTTCTCATCAGAAACATCTACCTGATTTTAACCCCTTTATAGTGGTTAAAAGCATTTACTCTTGACAATAATTCATCCTCTTTATTTTTTTTCCTTAAGCTTTTGATATGTCCAGGACTTAATTGTATGTTTGCTTAAATTAATTTTTCATGTGTTTTGTTCTAAATTATGACCACTCATGTATTTATTCTTGTACTAGAGAACTGATTCTATCAAAATTCCTACCATAATATCAACTTTTGGCCTTAAAACAGCAGTTCTTAAAAGTTCTTAAAATGTTCTAGCTATGCTATAATGAAGCTTCCACTGTTATAAACCATCTGAGAAAACAGTTCCTCTGCTTTACAGTAATCTAATCTGTAATAATTTTGGTGTCCATGAAAATCAGTTGGTGGTGTGGTGCCTAAGGCAATTGGCTGCTAACCAGAAGGTTGGCGGTTTAATCCCACCAGCCACTCTGTGGAAGTAAGATAGGACAATCTATTTCCATAAAGATTTACTGCCTCAGAAACCCAAAGTGAGTCACTGTGAGTCAGAATTGACTTGATGGCAGTGTGAGAATCATTTATTTTAGCCAAAAAATACCTTTCAGAAATGTTGACTTTGTGTACCTTCATTTTATAGATGAGGAAAATGAAGGAAAAAGCAGATAAGTGACTTACCTTAAAAAAAAAAAAATGTTTACTGATAGAATTGGAAATGAATCTGATTTCCTTCACTAACCTCTCATCAGAACACCCTAGGGAACCAATTGGCATGGATTTGTTATGTTGTTCCCTCTGTCGACAATGTTACCTTATATAAGTCCTAAAGATCTAATTTGGAGAGCAATTAATTTGAAGAATAACATCTATATTACACGCAAGTGTTATTTAGTGGTTTATAGAGCATGTTAAATCTGTATCTTAAACTTAGTATTTTGTTGGCTAGGATAGTGAATGAGAGCCGACAGGTGCTCCAGGAGCCTGATTTTGCTCAGTCCCTCCTGAGGGATCCAAATACTCCTATTATAAGAAAATCAAGAGGAACATCCACTCAAGGAACATCCACACATGCTTCTTCAACTCAGCTGGCCATGGTGGATGATCAGAGGAGCAAAGCAGGGAGTGTCCACAGCAAAGTGAGCAGCTACCATGGCAGCCTCCACAGATCACGTGATGGCAGGTAAGTTTTATTAGTACCTTAATTTATTTCATATGCTGAATTATTGTCATACAGTTTAAGAAAGAAGAGTAGCCCATTCTGAAATAGAAATTGACCATTATTAAGCCTTTTGCAAGTGTTCTGGTTACCTAGTGCTGCTCTGACAAGAATATACCACAAATGGGATGGCCTTAACAAACAGGAGTTTATTCTTACAATTTGGAGGCTTTAAGTCCAAGTTCAAAGTGCCAG